AAACAAGTAAATGAAAGATAAGTGATGAAAAGTTTGAATTGTTTTTAACTATTTTTATTTTGTATTTTTTCCTTTTCCTTTTTCCTTTTGTAATATTGTAAAAATCTTAATAAATATTTATTTAAAAAAAAGACATTGCTGTTAGCTGTAATTTACTAAGCAGACAAGTCAACAATCCTACTGTTAAGGATTGGATAGCTCTGAAACGCATAGCTCACTATTTGAAAGGCACTATGCATTACAGACTGAGATTTAATAATCAGAAGTCTGGTGGTCTTGAGATATTTGCAGATGCAAGTTTTGGAAGTGATACTACTGACAGGAAAAGTACGTCTGGAGTTTGCTACATGTACAATCAGGGTCTATTTGATTGGTCATGCAAGAAGCAAACAACAGTTAGCTTAAGTACTTGTGAAGCTGAACTGAATGCACTGTCTTATTCACTTAAAGATTGTGAATGGTTGTTACAATTGTGCAAAGACATGAAAATTCCTGTCAAATGTCCAATCCAGGTTTACCAGGACAACAAAACATGTTTGGCTTTGCTGAATTCTGAAGGTTGTAAGCAAAGCACGAAGCACTTGCAATTGAAGTTGCAACATGCTAGGGAAAGTGTTCAGAAGGGACTCGTAACGGTGTCCTATATGCCAGGTAATGAAATTCCTGCTGATGTATTGTCCAAGATTGTATCAAGGGATCAACATTGTACCTATGTGCAGAAGTTGGGTTTGTACTGATACTGTACGAACATGCTGCCCAGTGATGCTCACAGAAAGGGGGAGGATGTTGGTTTCTATTTCCCTCACTGAGCAGCAACTGCAGTCACAAGACATTGTTTTGCATTCCACAGTCAGAGTTACTGTTGGATTCCCACGGGAATGGGAGACTGGATGTGACGTACACTGGTTTCCTGCTTTTCAGTGTTCTCTCGGTTTCTTTGTTAGAGAGACAGTTGCTTCTCTGCTCTCACAGAGGCAAGATGCATGTTTGTATTCTCTCAGCATAGAGTGGAAATAAAGTTAGGAATGTGGCACATACTGCTTAACCTTCTGCTGTGTGGACTACTCTGCTTGGGCTCAAGATAAGACGAGCCTGTATCAGCTTCAGATAGGCCGAAGCTGGTCAAAATCTCACAGTTTGTACAACTTCATTGCTACATCATTGACATGTCACAAAAGGGGAGGGGTTAACCTTGGCAAACATGACCAGACAAGTCCTTGGTACAAGATTAGCATAAGCAGACATGTTGGGGCAAGACTCAGGTATAAGATTAGCATAGGGAAACACCTCTGAAGTCCCACCACCCAAAGTACAATAGAACTTCCTTTGTATGTCTGGCCCCTTGGCAAGTCAGGTGATGAGATTTGGCTTCCCTTGGCCAGCAATCAGCTCAGCAATTGTCACCTCTGGGCACTTCCTGGAGTCGCTTTTCCAAGGGGAAAATAGGTTTGGAAGAGGAAACTGGCAAAGGAGTTGATTTATATTGCCGTGTTTTTTGCTCCATAGGGCGCACCGGACCATAGGGCACACCTAGTTTTTTTTGGGGGGGGGGAATAAAGAAAAAAAAATATCCCCCCCCCCAGCCCCAAAGAGCAAAGAAGCCAAGAGAGCGAGCGGGATCCATCCTGCTGGCTGTCTTGGCTTCCTCTTTAGCCACGCGCAACCTCTCCAGCCGGGAGAGGCTGCGCGCGGCTTTGGCAGAAGCCAAGACAGCGAGCGGGATGGATCCCGCTCGCTGTCTTGGCTTCGTTTTTAACCGCGGGGCTGGGGCGGGGGAAGCCCGAGCTTCCCCCGATCCCAGCCTCCAGAACAGGTCCGGGAGTGGCGGCAAGGCTGAAAGCTGCTATCCACAAGTCTTCGGAACCCGGCGGGAAGTCCCGCTGCGCTCCGAAGGCTTGCGGATAGCTGCCTGAAGCCTGGAGAGCGAGAGGGGTCGGTGTGAAGTGACCCCTCTCGCTCTCCAGGCTTCAGCGAAAGCCTGCATTCGCTCCATAGGAATTTTTGGAGGGGGAAAAGTGTGTCCTATAGAGCGAAAAATACAGTATTTTTAAAGCTAGGTAACTTCCCTGAGCTGTCAAGTTGAAAGGATACATTCAGGCGTACAGTCATACCTTGGGTTGAATGCGCTTTGGGTTGAGCGCGTTCGAATTGCACTCTGCGGAAACCCGGAAGTAACGGAGCGTGTTACTTCCGGGTTTCTCTGCTTGCGCATGCGCAGACGCTCAAAATGACGTCATGCGCATGTGCAGAAGTGGTGAAAAGCGACGCGTGCGTGCGCAGACGTGCCGTTGCTAGTTACGTTTGCTTCTAGATGCAAACGGGGCTCCGGAACGGATCCCGTTCGTATGTAGAAGTACCACTGTAATATTTGTTTGTTTTTTAAAAAATAATATTTATTGATAGTTTCAGAATTATAGAAAAAAAAACAAAAAACAAAAAACAGCACTACAATACATAAAAAAGAAGAAAAAACGCAAAACATAAAAACCAATACAACAATACAGCAAAAAAATAAAAAAGGAGAAAAAAAGACATAAATCTCAAATTACATATCTTTGACTTCCATTTGCTTGTTTCATTGACCTCCTCACACCTCCCTTTTTGTATTCTAGTTTAATTAGTTAATATTTGTAACATTTAACAACTTTAAAGATGTGCCCCCCCCCCGCTAATTTCCGTAACAAAGAAAAGGAAAATTGGGGGATGCTTTCATTACAGTGGAAGAATGAATGCAAGAGGAAGGATGGTGTGTTGGGATGGGGTGTCCTCTGTCAATCCTGCGCCCCCCCCCTTTCCAAGGGTCCCCTGGCAAGAGGAAGGGAGAAGGGGGGGGGCAATGTGTCCTGAGTTCTCAGATCTCCAGTGAAAATAGGGATGTCCTATTCCAAGATATGGAATAGCATAACATCAAACATTGAAAACTTCCCTAGACAGGGCTGCCTTCAGATGTCTTCTAAAAGTTGTACAGTGGTACCTTGGTGCTCAAACTTCATCCGTTCCGGAAGTCCGTTCCAAAACCAAAGCGTTACAAATCCAAGGCGCGCTTTCCCATAGAAAGGAATGAAAAATGGATTAATTTGTTCCAGACTTTTTAAAACAACCCCTAAAACATTGATTTAACCTGAATTTTACTATCTAACGAGACCATTGATCCATAAAATGAAAGTAATTATCAATGTACAGTTCCGTACTATAGAATAAATAAGGCGGTATTGTACATGATAAAAATTAAAATTAATTATTTTTCTTCCCTGCATTGGTGATACTCATTGTTGGGATGGGGGGCTTTTATCCATTTCTGCAGTCACACAATCAAATCCAGTAGCTAAATTGGGTTCCACACTGTCACAAAAACAAATTAACCGGAAAAGCCTCAAAAACAAAAACGCAAAGTCAATAGCAAAAGCAAGAGCACCAAATACAATGGTACCATGGTTCTCGAACCTAATCCGTTCTGGAAGTCCGTTTGACTTCAGAAATGTTTGAAAACCAAGGTGCAGCTTCTGATTGGTGCAGGCGCCCTGGAAATAATAGCCGACAGCCGCATCGGATGTTCAGCTTCCAAAAAACGTTCAAAAACTGGAATACTTAGTTCTGGGTTTTCAGTGTTTGAGAACTGTAGTGTAATTTATCTCCTTGACATCTGACGATTATTATTTTTCCCTGATGGGGTACCAAGAACCTGCATAGAGTCCTTATGTAGGTTCTCTAGGAGAAAATAACAGAGGCCAACCAGAGAATATTGAAAAGCAAAGCAGCTAGTAAGCCTGATCTTTATTAAACTGTTGCAACAGGGTCCCCCATTCCCCTTATATAGACTTTTGAAATTGCCTATAGCCAGAGACCTCCTACCAAAAAAACAAAAAAACAAAACATACATACATTACAGAAGGAGGCAGTCTCCAGCAGAAATCCTGCCTGCCAGGATACCTGACAACCATCACTGATTGCTTTACCTGGGCAGCCTGGCCACTCTTTTGTGATGGTTAATACTTTAGTTCCTGAATCCAGGTCACAGGCTCACCCTGTTCACACACAAATATGCCCTAAAGACAGGATTTGTAAGTGAAAAAGAATATTTGAGGTTACTGGAAGAGTCAAAATGGTTTCAGGATTGCTCCCCTGTACTATTTCAGACACGTGGTTTATATACTTATGTGTTTGCCTTGTAAATTTATGAACATTTATTTTTTATATATAAGACCTTAGAATTCCTATTACACTCTATTCCAATATATGAAATAACATAACATCAAACCAGAGCTGGATTTAGGTTTGATGAGGCCCTAAGCTCCTGAAGGTCGTGGGGCCCTTTATATGTCCAGCTGTCCTTTGTCGATGGGATGCAGGTGGCGCTGTGGGTTAAACCACAGAGCCTAGGACTTGCCGATCAGAAGGTCGGCGGTTCAAATCCCTGCGACATTTCTGTGCGCTGCTCTGGTTCGCCAGAAGCGGCTTAGTCCTGCTGGCCACATGACCCGGAAGCTGCACGTCGGCTCCCTCGGCCAATAAAGAGAGATGAGCGCCGCAACCCCCGAGTCGGTCACGACTGGACCTAATGCTCAGGGGTCCCTTTACCCTTTACCTAAGCTCCTGAAGGTTGTGGGGCCCTTGATATGTCCAGCTGTCCTTTGTCAACAACAAATTGTCACTGTTTTGTGTGGAATATACGCTTTATGCTAATTTATGGACCTAAGAGGTATCTTAAAGCCATTTGCACATAACAGAATAGGAGGTGACGCAGCACAAAACACTGTTGCTGTATGTAGTTTTTATTTTATTTGTTTTGTGCCTCGTTTCTCCCCCTTTGGTCTTTTAGGGGGCCCAGGAGAGTGGGGCCCTAAGCTATAAGTTTTTATCTCCTTGACCTCGATTTCTTATGAAAAATGAGGCCCCTCTGCCCCCCCTTCCTTTCCAGCAGCTTCTGCGGCCTTGGAAGGTCAGAGCAGAACCCTAATAATGCTTTTTTGGTGGGGGGGGGGCAGCCGCATTTGGGGCGACGCGGGAAGAGACCAGGCCGGCCGCGCAAGAGACAGGGCAAAGGGGGGACCGGACTGGGCATGCGCGCTGCACCGGCCGCATTCCCACCTGGCGGATGCGTCGAAAATGACGTTTGTGGGCGGGGCGATGACGTCAGAGGGCCGGGCGGAGAGCGGGGCGGGGCTCGTGCTCACGTGGCGCGGACGCGACGGAGAGCAGGTAGGGGGAGAGAGAGCCGGGGAGGCCCCCCCAAAGCAGAACCGGGGACCCCTTGCAAAGAGCCCCCCCAACCCTGATCCGCTGCCCCGGGAAAGGGGCGGGGGGCGGGTCCAGGCACGTCCCTCGAGGGGAGGGCTCGGGGAGACCCCCTTGCGCCCCCCACCCGCCCCCATGCCGGGCCGGAGCAGCCGAGCGCAGATGGTCCGAGGCGCCTGCGGTGTAAGTAGCTGGAGTGGGGGCCCCTAGACCCCCCCATCACGCCTTCTGGGGGGCAGAAAGCCGGCCTGGCTGGGGGGCTGCTTTCTGGCTCAGTGCAGGCCTGGGGGGGGGGTAATGGGGTCCCTGCCACGCCCCCAAGCCCCCCACTTTCCTCCCCCAGGTCCTTCTCCTGGCGCTGCTGATGCTCCCTCTGCTGCGCACGGCCTGCCAGCTCTTCTCCTCCATGGCCGCCTCCGCTGGGGGCCCCTACGTCCCCGGGACCCTCTCGGCCGCCTTCGTCACCTGCCCCAACCAGACCGTCGCCAAGGAGATTGCCAGGTGAGCCCCGCCTGGGGGGTTGGGATGGATGACCCCTGGAGTCCCTCTCCAATCTGCTGCTCCAGTTGGAAAGCAGGGCCACCCTGGGAGCTTCCTTCCGCCTTGCCCCCCCCCCGACTGATGGCGAGGGGGGCTCTGGCCGGCCCTGAGGGTCTCTCTCTCCCTCTGTCTGCCCACCCCGCAGGGCCGTCGTGGAGAAGAAGCTGGCAGCCTGCGTCAACATCGTCCCCCAGATCACCTCCATGTGAGTGAGGAGGGCCAACCCTCCGCCCAGCTCAGGCGTGGGCCAAGGTGGGGCTGCGAGGCGGCAGGGCACCCCAGAGAAGGGGGGCGGGGGTACACCACCCACCCACCTCCCCAAACCCAGGCTGAGGGTTGGGGTTGGACTAGATAACCCCTGGGGTCCCTTCCAGGATTCTGGGGATTTCCTTCCTGTGCAATTTCATTTCGTTATTATATTTACATACTTTATTATTATTATATACATTTCAATTACTCCCACCAGGAACTCCGCAAGGGGGAAAAGCTGGGCCCGGGCCCCTTTGCACCCTCTGCAAAAGGGCTCCCCCCCTTCCTGGGGGGCATCACAAGCCACACCCTCTTTTTATTTCATCACATTTCTGCATGGCCCACCCTTCCTTCCTGGGTGCCATATGTGGTTCTGCTGCCCCTCACAACGGCCCAGTGAGGCAGGCCACGGCCAAGAAGGGGCTCCCAGGCCCCTCGCCTGATGCTCTAACCACTGCCCCACCGCTGCCTCCCCATCTCTCTGTCTCTCTTGCAGCTACGAGTGGAAGGGCAAGATTGAGGAGGACTCGGAGGTGCTGCTGGTGAGTCCCTCGGGCCCCTGCTGCCCCCCTCCCTATAGGTCCACAGAGGCGAGGGGGAAAGCGGCCTCCAAACGCCCAGCTGCATCGCCTGGTCCTTGGACTGCTGCAGTGTGCTGGGGGGCAGGGCAGCCGCCCATTAAGGAGGTGCTGTGTTGGGCACCTGGGAGGGATTTCTGGCCTGGCGCCCCCCCAGGCCAGGAGGGGGCAGAAGCAGCCCAGAATACGTTGGGAGGCTGCTCAGAGCATCCCCTCTAACCATTGGGCATCACTTCCAGTCGATGAACGCTTTGCATTCAGATCCTTCCTCTCCCCCCAACAGATGATCAAGACGCGCAGCTCTCGTGCCTCGGCCCTGGCAGAGTTTGTCCGGTGAGTCGCTTGGGGGTGAGGATGGCCGGGGGGACACACATTGAAGGACCCCCACTCCAGCCCCGCTGTGAGGTGACGCCCCCTTTTCTGCCCCTGCAGGTCGGTGCACCCTTACGAAGTGGCGGAAGTGATCGCTGTCCCCATCCAACAGGGGAACCCTCCCTACCTGCAGTGGGTCGAGGAAACTGTCCCAGAGTGAAGCGGAGTGGCTGGGGGCCAAGAAGGAGAGCAGAAATAAACACCTCTCCGCCCCTGCCTGGTGGGGAGAAAGCCAAGGTGGTGTGGTCTGAATCTGTCCCGGGGGGCAGGAGGTGGGGGTCCGGAGAGGGGTCTCTGCCAGGCAGGCTTCGGCCTGCAAACTGCCCTGATCTCTCGAAACTGGACCCGGGAAGCAGTTGCGCCAATATCAGGTTTCAGGAATGATGCGATGTCCCTCCTCCGCCGGCTCTTGTCCAGCCCCAGGCAGGGCTCCCCACCCCACAGCCAGCCAGGCGGGATCCTGGCCCCCTGGGCTCTGCCTCCGAAAGGCAGCCCTTCCTCAAGCAGCAGAGTTAACCTGCGGAACTCCCTCCCACTGGAGCCAGTGATGGCGGGCACGCTCCGTCTCCCCGGTCGGTGGCAGCCAATTCTTCCGATCGCCAGTTGCTGGAAAACACAGGAGGAGCAAGTTCTTCTTGTGCCTGGATCATAGAAGCGTGGGCTGGCAGAGCTGGCAGGGACCCTGGGGGTCATCTAGCCCAACCCCCTGCAATGCCCCAGCGTGGGGCTCGAACCCGCAACCCTGAGATTCAGAGCCTCGTCCTCTCCTGACCCAGCCACCCCAGCAGTCCTGCCTGTGGGCTGCCTTTGGCCTGCCAATGGAGCCTCCAGGCCCAGCAGCAGTCTATCTCGAGTCCTTGGGGGTTTTGGCCAGGAGGCTGGGCTGGACGGGCCTGTTCCGGCAGGTGCTTCTGATGCTTTTAGGTGGGTTTTTTTGGGGGGGGGGTCTTGGGCCCCAGGAAGCAGCTGCAGGCGGCAAAGTCTTGCCCAGAAGCTCTTTTATTCGGAAGTGCTTTGTACAACAGTCAGTCTAGCAGCAGCAGAGGCAGTACTACAGGCGCAAGGGGGGCTGTGTGTGTTTGGGGGGCAGCCGAGGGGGGCGCGCTCTCTCTCTCTCTCCCACTCAGGCCTCTTTAAATAATACCTTTAACCAACAAACAGTAAAAAAATAAGCAGGACTCAAACTCTTTTTGGGGTCCAAGACGACGATATGGGGGGTGGGGAGCAGCGGCAGCAGCAAATAGAAGAAACTTGGGGGTCTCCTGCCCCCCCAAGAGCAAGAAATGGCACAGTCCACATTCCTCAAGCGGGTAGGGGGAGCCGCCCCACGGCCTGCCCCCCAGAATTGCACTTGTTGCTCTCTCCTTGGCCAGGCACATTGGGGGCCCCTCGGGGTCCCGCTTTGGGGCCCCTAGAACATGCTGCCCCCCTCCCACTCCACCAGGTACTGCACGGTGCCCTCGGTGGTGACGCGACGAGCCAGGATGCGCACCGCCTCCCCCCGCGCCAGCCGCCCCATGGGTCCAAAGTAGCCCGAGCTGGCGGGGCCGCCGGGGGCCACGCAGAGGGCCGAGGGGGCCGGGGCAGCCGGCGGGGGCCGCTTGGGGGCCGGCGGCGCAGAGTGTCGGCGCAGGAGTGTCCGGGGGGCGGGGCCGTCATCCGCCGGAGATCGCTCTGGGCTGCCCCGCTCCGCAGGGGCGGCGTCACCGGGGTCGAGGGGGGCTCCGCGGCTGGTGCTGCAGAAGGAAAGGGGGTCACTTGCTGCAGCCAGTCACCCCGAACCTCAGTTTGCCCCCCGCCTGCCCTGGACGACCAGCGCTACAACTCCCAGCAGCGCTTGCAGTGCGGGAAGCAGGAACTCGAGGGTCCCTGACAGACGGGCGTCCAACCTCTGGGGAAGGAGAGGCGCACCCCCCTCCTCCTGCCTCCCACTGCCTCCTCACAACAACCCAGTGAAGTAGGCTAGAGGAACGATAGCTGACTTCAAGGCCGGCTGGTCCGCTTCACAGTTGAGTGGGGATTTGAAGCCTGGTCTCTCCCAGGTCCTAGTCCAATGCTCCAACTGGAGGAGGATGGGGCTCACAGGGGCCGCCCTGACCTGGCAGAGGTCGGTGTCTCAGAGGGGGCAACTTGTCTGACGGCAAGGGGGTGGACCGGATGATCCTTGGCGTTCCCTCCCCATCCAATCCAGGGCCAAACAGCCATTCATGAGGCCGCTCACCCCACAGACTGGAGAGCAGCCTCTTGGGGGTTTGGGGCTGGCCCCGGGGGCAGGGGGCTGTGCTGGGCTTCCCCTAGAGTGGTGGTGGGGCCCAGTGAAGCCCCCCACTTCCATCCAAGCCCCCCTGGGGAAGGTGGGGCGCACCCCTCCCTCCGTCCTCACCTCAAGGTCCCTGCAGTGTTGGCCGAGGGATGGAAGGAGGCGAACATCCGGATCGGGGCGCTGCAGGATGGGGGAGAGAGAGGCAGGCCGTCAGCGTGGGGCGGGGAATGCCTCCCCCCCCCCCGCCGTGGGGCTGCCTTGCTTGCCCCCTCACCTGTCCTGGCAGCGGGCGTCGGTGCGGCGGAAGTTGTAGGAGCTGGAAGTGCCGCCGTAGCCGCTGTAGCTCTGGTTAGCGCTGACTGGGTGCTGCACCACCGCCTGGGGGCGGAGAGAGGGGAGGGGGCTCTTGAGCGGGACGCAGCAGGGGGCCCCCCCGGCCTGCCCCCTGCCCTTCCTGGCCCCCGCCTACCTGAGTGAGGGCCCTCTCCAGGCGCTCCCTCTCCCGGGTGCTCCGCTGCTGCTGCTGCTCCTCCTCCTCCTGCTGCGCCCACTGCCCCCCGCTGCCACTCGGGGCCGGCGGCTGCCTCTTTCGCCGGCGCTGTGGCTGCTGCCGCGGCTGCCCCCGCCGCCCGGCCCTCGGGCGCTCCGGCCCCTTCCCACGCCTGCCCTGCCCTGAAAGGAAGCTGTAAGAGACCCTCCTTATCTGCACGGCACGGAGGGGGGTGCCGGAGGAGCAAAGGCGGGGGGAGGCCACTGCCCCCTTTCCCACCCCCTCGGGGTGGGGGAGACCCCCGGCTCACCTGCTTCCCGCGATGAAGGGGGTCCTGGGCGCGTCCCCGGAGCCGTCGGCCCCCTGGGGGGCGGGTGGGGGGACGCGGCAGTGCAGCCCAAAGAGGCCCTTGCGCTTCTTGATCTCCTTCCCGGAGATGAACCTGCAGAGGAGGCGGCTGTGATGGGGCAGCTCTTGAACCCAGCCCCCGCGGCCCCCCAGGGGTCCGCCGGCCCACGCCAGGCCTGCCACCCCCTCACCTGTCCTTGTGTCCCGTCAGGGCGTTTAGCAGCTGGCTGTAGCGCTCCCCCTTCGGGGTGTCCGAGAGCTGTGGGGAAAGGGGCAGCATCAGACCCCCGCAGGCCAGGGTGCCCCACCCTGAGGCCCCTTCTTCATGGGGGGCGGATCCTGCCTCCTGGCCCACACTGCCAATCCCCAACATTAAAGGGATCCTAGACTTTTATCGGGTCCCATCCCCTGCAATTCAAGAATGTTTTGCCCCGCATGGGACTCGAACCCACAACCCTGGGATTCAGAGTCTTGTCCCCCCCCCCCGCTCTTCTCCCACCCCCAGGATCCCTTCCCCCACCAGCCTCACCTCGCCCAGCAGGAGGCTGTCCCAGTTCTCGCTGGCGAAGGGCAGGATCTCGCGCTCAAAGTCAAAGTACTTCTTCTTGCAGCAGATGCTGAGGTGGTAGAGGATGAGGTGGGCCACGTCCACCCTGCGGGGGGGGGGGCAGGCGGGAATCCCTCAGCGCAGCCCCCCACCCTCCCGGCCCCCACGCCCTCCCGGTGCCTCCTGGCCCTTGAGGTGGCGGCTTCCTTCGCTCTGGCGCCAAAACCTCCTTCCCCGTTCTGCTCTCTTTGCTTTCTAGATCAGCTGCTTAATTCGGATGGACTTATTCTAAGTTACCAAGTCTGTCCCAATTATCCCAAGTGGTGTATTTGGAAATCAAGTGATAAACAGGAAGCTGTTAATTAAAGGGCCCAAGTGGATCAGGGTACACTCAAGATGTGGGTGTGTTTTTTTAAGGACCCACCTTCCTCTGGCTCTCTTTAAACTGCTTTTATATGGAATGACAGTTGGCAGGGACCCCGAGGGTCATCCAGTCCAACCCCCCAAGATGCAGGGACCTCCTGCCCAAGGTGGGGCCCGATCCCGTGACCGAGTCTGGGCTGGGGCCAGGCAGGCCTCCCTGGAGCCAGGCCGCTGCATTGCTCTCTTGTGCTTCCGCCCCACTGCCCGCCCCAAAGCGCCCCCTCACCATCTCAGGGGGAGACGCCGGACGCTCTCTGGGCCTCCCGTGCAGACGCAGCACTCAAAGACGTAGAACCTGCCGGGTGGAGCCAAGGGGGGTCAGTCACAAGACGCCTGCACCCTCTGACCCCCTCCCCCCCCGGGCTGCCCCTCACCTGTCCCCGTAGAGCAGCGGCTTGCTCAGGCACTGGGTGCAGGCCTCGTGGAACCACTGGGCGCAGCAGCGGCACTGCAGCATCTTCAGGTTCCACCTGAGGCAGAGGAAGAGAGGGGCCGGTCAGCTGAGCACCCCCAGCACACAGCCCCCTCCGGTTCCAGAGGCGCCCTTCCTCCTCCCCACAAGCCCCCCCTTCCGCCACCCCCCTGCCGGGGGGGCAGACTCACTCTCCGGGGCCCCCACAGTAGCAGTAGCACTGCTGTCGGTTGGCAAGGTGCTCGGCGTCCCACTCCAGGGCCTTCAGCTGGTAGGGCAGCACCAGCTTCATGCCCAGCATGGCCTTGGCGTAGGGCCCCTTCTTGAGGGCACCGCCCCGCTGTGGAAGGAGGAAAGCCGTGGGGCAGAGTCAGTGCGTGGGGCGCAGAAGGGGGGCCCCACCCCATGCAGGCTCTCGCCACCGCAGGCTGGTCTATGGCAGAGGGAGAGCCGTGGGGCTGGGACAGAGGACCTCTGGGGGTCCCTTCCAACTGTGGGGCAGAGGAGACCCTCTTACCTTGGTGGCCACAGCAAAGACACACTGCCGGCACGTCCAGGCCCCATCGCTCAGCACCCGGGGCAGGTGGCATTCCTGGTGGTAGGCTGCGGGGGGGGGGGGAGGAAGGAGGGTCATCAGTGGGGCAATGGGGGGGCACCAGGGGCAGCTTGTGGGGCTCCTTTGGCGGACTCACCGTGGCTGCATTTCTCGCACCGCACCAGCCGGTTGTCTGGGCTCACGGCCTCCGAATGGCACACGCAGCAGGACTGCTCCTCCCCAGGCACTGCCGCTAGGAGAAAAGGCAGGGGGGGCGTGAGGGGCCAGTCCCCCCCCAAGGGCAGCTGGGTTCCTGCCCCAAGAGCCTCAGAAGCAAGATAAGACTGCCTCTGGAGTTGGAGGCTCCATCGGGAAATAAGAAGTGTCTGCTGGATGGGGCCAAAGGGGGTTCTCCTCTGATCCAGCCTCCCCTTCCCACCCTGGGCAGCCAGGGAACGGCCCCCCCCCCAGCGGCTTCCAGGAACCGGCCATTCAGAACCATCCTGCTTAGGAGCCACTGATATCTCGGAGTTCCACAGGTGAACTCTGCACTGGGGTCATCCCTACAGAACAAGGCAGGGTGGGGAGCAGGGGGTGGAGACTGTGGGGGACCCCAAAGAGGCGGCCCAGGGTGGCGGGGGGGGGGTGTTAGCCAGGGGGTGGGGGGCATCTCCCACTGACCTGGGTTGATGTCCTTCCAGAGCACAAGGAACTGGGAGTCGTCCTCAAACTGCACCAGGCACACCTGCCGGAGGGGGTCCACCTGCCGGAGGGGGGGAGGGGGTGAGCAGAGACCCCCAGCCGGGGGGACGGACCCCCCTGACCCCGAGGGGAGGGGCAGCCACTGACCTTCTTGATGGTGCCCAGGTAGAGGAGGCCGTCGGTCCAGCGCGCCAGGACATCCTGGCCCTCCCAGAAGCGGGGCCAGCCGGGAGGGGCTGCGCTGGGCCCCCCGGGCGCCGGCGGGGAGCAGGGCGAGGGGGGCGCCCCTCCGCTGCCGGCCGCCGGCCGCTTCCAGGGCCCCGAGGTCAGGCGGGCGCTCGTCCGGGTCAGCCGGGCCGAGGCGGGGGTGGCGGGAGGCTCACTCGCCATCACATTGCGCCCCACCTGCAGCGGGGGGGGGGGAGAGACGGGGGTCAGGCTCCGCCCCCAAAGGGCCCCCCGAGTGCGGGCGGGCGGGGGGGGGGTCTCCTGCGTGCGGGGGGGGGGTCTCCTGCGGGGAAGGGGCGGGGGCGCCCCCCGTGCCGGCTCCGCTCTCGGGGTCCCTCTCGCCCGCGCCCCCTTACCCGCGGGGGGTGGGGGTCCCTCCCCGGTGGGCCGGGGCTCTCAGGGGCGGCGGAGCGGGACCCTCTGCGGCTCCATCCTCCCGCGGAGCGCCAGTGACGCAGCAGCCGGAGCGGGGGGCCGCGAGGGGGGATGCCGAGGGCCGGGCGGCCGAGCCCCCCCAGCGCCCCCACCCGGAGCCGGCACGCCCCCGCGACCTGAGGGGGCGAGGGGGGGAAAGACCCCCCAGCAGGCGGGGAGGGGGCGGCCCGCGTCTCCCCCGCCCCCCAGCTCCCAGTCGGGCCCGTGGCCGCGCCTGGGGGTCCCTCCTGCCTCCCCCCACTGCCCGGACCCCCCGGCCCCCTCCAAGGGGATCGCCCTGCTGCAGCGGGGCCCCCCTCCCTGGAATGGAGGGGGGAGCTGGCCTGGGGCCCTGTGTGCCCCCACCTGCTTCAGGCTCCGAACCCCCTTCGTGGGGGGCTGACCCCCCAGCTGCATTGGGGGAGAGAAAAGGGGGCCAGGGTCACTAGGGGTATTCTTGAGATGGGGGGTCCCTCCTCTCCAGGCCCCGCCCCTCGGACCCCCCCGCCCCACCTGCGCAGAGGGGCAGGCGGGTGTTCAATCGGGGAAGCTGCTCCCCCTCGCGCAGGCGGCTGCACCTGTGGAATAGCTGCCTGTTGCTAAGGCGCGCTCCGCCGGCCTCCCCTGGGGGGGCCCTCCTGTTTGTTTGTTTGTGTGCGTCTCTCTCTCTCTCTCTCTCTCTCTCTCTCTCTACATTGAGCTCTCTCCCCATAGAGCTCCCTGGCCCCGCCCCTCCACAGGCCCCGCCCCTGCGGCGCAGGCCCCGCCCCCGCCAGCCCGCTTCCTGCGCGCCGCGGCCGTTGCCATGGAGGGGCGTGGCTGCCTGCGGCGCGCGCGCGCACTCACGCTCGCCCTCCCGCCGACGCTCCTTCCGGCGGAGGCGGTCTCGGGCGCCTTCTTTGGCGGCGCGCGTGCGCAGTGCGTCGTCCGCGCCGGCCGCGCGCCAAGGGGCGACTTAGGGGCGGAGCCGGCGCGAGGTTGTGCGGCGACGCGGCCTGGCCGTTGGCGTAATACGAAGAGGGCGGGTCCGGCCCGCGTGACGGGCGGCCGCGGATTGGTCTCCTCCTCTCGCCGCCTCGCCATTGGCTGCCGGGCGGCGCCGCGGGGGAGGACGGGAGCTGCCCGTTTGAATCCGAGGGCGGTTGGGTCGGAGAGGGAAAAGGACGGCGAGGAGGAGCAGAAGGGCGTCGAGCGCGGCGCCGGTGAGGCCTCTGGGGCGGGCAGAGGGGCGCCTTCCTCAGGCGGGGGGGACCAGCCAAGCGCACGGGGCGCTTCCGTCTCTGCCGAGCCCCAGCAGCGGCGCTCTTCCTGGAGATCGGGGGAGGCAACCGGGGGCCGGATCCGGCCCAGTCGCCTTCTCAATCCGGCCCGCGGAGGGGCCGGCACTCAGCGTGCTTTGACATGCGTAGAATGTGTCCTTTCGTTTAAAATGCGTCTCTGGGTTCTCTGTGGGGCAGAGGAATTCGTTCTCCCCCCCCCCCATATAGTCCGGCCCCCCCCAAGGTCTGCGGGACAGTGGACCGGCCCCCTGCTGAAAAGGTTTGCTGACCCCTGTCGAGCCTCCAGGCCCAGAGGCAGCCTATCTCGATGCCTTGGTGCTGGGGGGCAGCTGGACTAGCGGGGCCTCCTTTGACCTTGCAGGCTCGGCTTCATTTCTTTGGCCTGCCACTGGCGTCCTGGCGGCTGAAGGTGTCTTGCTTCTCCCAGAAGGCCTTGCCTGGAGCTGATGGATGGTCCGCCTCCCGTGAGTCCCTTCCGGGGGTCTGGGGGCTTCTCTCTCCCGCCTGCCTCGGGCTTCGACACCCCCCTCCACCCCGCTTTTGTGATTCTTGCATTGCAGGGAGTGGGGGCCCCTTCCGACTCAACGACCCTCCGTTTCTCTCTCTCTTGCACCCCACCTCAGTTACCACTCAGGGAGCAGAAGATGAACTCGGAGGAAAAAAGTTTCCTGCTGCCAAAAGGCCCCTCCCGGCTCCCTGTGTCTGGGGTGCGCCTCAAGCGCCCGGCCAGCGATGAGAATGAGCCCCCCAAGGTGGACCGGGTGAGTTCTCAAGCCCCTCCCTTCTGCTGCATGGGGTGTATGAATGGGGCATTGCCATTTCCAGCAGAGAGGGACGTTGAATAGAATCAGTGAGGTGGTCAGGGACCCCTGCAGGGCATCCAGCCTGGCCCTGGAGAATAACAAACAGCTGCCCTTTCCTTCCTGCCAGAAACGGGCTCGGGGTCCCCTGGACCCTCCCAAGCGGGGAGGACCTGTGACAGCAGCCCCCTCCTTTCCGAAGCCTCCGCCAGCGGCCCCTGGGCTCCGAGGCCACCGCCAGGCCGGTAAGCTCTGATCGGGGGGCGGGGCAGAACCTGGGGAGCCCTTCTGGACTTTGCTGTAACACAGCTTTCTTGGCAGGGGGGCGCCGTCGCTCGAGCACTCGGACACGGGGGACTGCGGGTGTGGCAGGGCCATCCATCACAGGTAGGCAGCGGGCTGCAGAAGTGTCCCTGTTAAGGGTGCCATATCATACCTGTAAGGAATTGATCATTTAGAGAAGCAGCACCCATCGTGTTATTTTTCAAAAATATTATAAATATTGTTGTATTGATTTCCATTACAGTGGTGCCTTGCTTCTCAAACGGCTTACTTGTTGAACAAATTGGCTCCTGAACGCCGGAAACCTGGAAGTAAGCGTTCCGGTTTGCGAATCTTTTTTAGAAGCTGAGCGTCCGACACAGCTTCCGAATGAGTGCAGGATGCTCCTGCAGCCAATTGGAAGCCGTCCCTTGGTTTGCGAATGGTTTCGGGAGTCTTGGACTCCTGGAACGGATGAAGTTCGAGAACCAAGCCACCACTGTATAAAAAAAAATGGCATTGCATAGCTAACCTATGGAACTTCCGTCCACAGGAGGTAGTGATAGCTACTAACTTGGATGGCTTTACAAGAGGATTAAACAGATGCACGTCCGAGAGGGCAATCAGTGGCTACTAGCTGTGATGTCTGCTCTGCTTCTATGGTTGGAGGCAGAAATTCTTCTGGATACCTGTTGCTCGAAGCCACAAAGGGGGAGGGGGCTCTTGGGCTTGAATCCTGCTCTCTGGTTTCCCACAGGAAACTGGCCACTGAGAACAGGATGCTGGACTAGACAGGCCCCTTGGGCCTGATGCAGTTATGTTCTTACAACACCAGGCAGCTATCTTTGCTGGACTCTTTTTGGCACCTGCTGAAGCCATTTCAGTTTTGGCAAGCTGATTCAGACGTGTAGAACGTGGGTGCCCCGTAATCCTGCATCTGGTGCCCCTTTAACTTGTGTGCATTCAGTGTAGGAAACAATATAAAAAGTTTGGAGAGGGGCTGGGAAAAATGCTCTGGCAATCCCGCCCACCATTAAACCCAGCATATTTCAGCTATATGCGATTTTGACTTTAGGCACAATCCGTGGAATGGAACCCCCACATAGGTCGCTTTAATCTGTCTTGAGTCCCTTGCTGATTTTATGTTTTGAAGTATTACTATTGTTTGGAGATATTTCATGAAGCAACGGAGGGGAGACAGGGTCCCCTTGGGAATCCTTTCACTGCTTCATGGCTCATTCCTTGTTTCCCAGCAGGATCCCGTCGGACGGTGGCTGCGGCAGCCCCTAAGCCAGGTAAGGCCTGGAGAAGGGAGGGAGGTGCCCCCTCCTGTGCCATCCTTGAGCCGCCACTGGGACCATCACACTGTCCTCTCTATCCCTCTCCCCTTGGCAGCCGCTGCTCCTGCCGCTGCTGGTGGGGGTGAGAAGAAGCGGGCCCCCTGGGACTTGAAGGGGCAAGTGAGCGACTTGCGGGCCAAAGTGGGGACCTACAAGGAGAAGGCCCAGGGGCTAGCCGGGGAGAATGAGGCCTTGAGGCATCAGCTGAACCAGCTGGAGAGGGAGCTGAAGCAGGCGACGGCCCGCAGCCAGCAGCTGGAGGGGCAGAACAGGTGAGTGAGCGGCAGCCTGAGAAGGGCATGGCGGGCTCCTTCTGCTACTCCTGCTGCAGGATCTGACCTCTGCCCTACCCTCTCTTTGCAGTGCCTTGGCCTTGGAGCTGCAGACCTGCCAAGCGCAGGCCACAGAGAGCCTGCAGAGGGTGGAGCAGCTGGTGGAGCGGGAGCAGCAGCTGCAGGAGACCGTCAAGAGCCAGGGCCAGACAATCCGGGAGCTGGAAACCGCTGGCCGCAAAGCCAGGGAGGCCAAGGAGGATTTGGCTGCCCAGCTGGAGGCCAGAGAGGTGAGTGGGGGCTGGGGACCCTTCCACCCACCCTTTAATGGAGGTGCTTGGAATCCCAAGGTGAGGTGAGGAATCCTTGGGACTAGCCAACATCTGCTTGTGACTCCTGCATTGCAGCGGGTTAGACTAGATGTCCCTTAGGTACCCTTCTGATTCCACAATGCCAGAATCAATATCAAAGTTAAGGGGTGGGTCCTCAGCCCCAGAAAAGAGAACTAGATACCTTAAAAAAAAATTTTTTTAAAAAATTATTAAATATTTTCAACATATAACATAATACAAACCAAACTAGTTTAAAAAAAGATAATAAGATGAAAGAAAGACATTGCAAACACTTTTGTAAATCAAGAATTTTTAAATAAAAGATAATAAGAAATACAGGAAAAAGCAATAAAAGGTGGGAATATAAGGAGAAAAAGAAAGAAAATAAATAAAAACCACAACAATAATAGTAATAATCACAATAAAACACAAAATTTTATGTGTCTAGCCCTCTATCATAATTATATCCTAATTTTCAATCCCCATACAGATAAGTGTATCCCTCTCAGCTCTCTCTGGAAGTGCTTCCCCTTTTCTCAGCCTCACACCCTGTTTCTCACACAAGTCCCTTTTCTATCCATCGCAAGAGGGACCTAGATATTTGTCTGGTGGAATTGCTAACCTCTGCTGTGTCTGTTCCTGCTGGTGCTTTTCCTTTCCCAGCTGAGGAAGCCTGCGTTTGCCTCCTCCTCCCTCAGTGAGCCTGTGGCGCTCCTAATCTGTTGCCTGGCTGAGAGGGCGGGTGGGCGGCTCTGGGTTTGAGGTGGACCGTCCCTCACTGCCCCTGGGGTTTCTCTGACGCAGGCGGCACTGGGCCTGGCGCAGGAGAGCCTGGCCCAGCGGGCGCAGGAGAATGAGGCGCTGGCAGCACGCAAGGCCCAGCTGGAGCAGAAGCTGCACGAGTCAGAGATGGAGCGGCGCTCCCTGCACAACGCCGTCCAGGAGCTGAAGGTGGGCCGGTGGTGGTGGTGGGGCTGGCGCTGGGGGTCCCTTTGTGGGGCTGGGTGCTGATGAGTCCCCGCTCCCTCCAGGGCAACATCCGTGTCTTCTGCCGCGTGCGCCCCCTGCTGAGCAGCGAGAAAGAGGCACAGAAGCAGGGGATGAGCCACCTGCGCTTCCCGCCAGACGACAGCAAGAGCCTTGTCTTATCCAAGGCGGAGGAGGTCAGTCTGGGGTGGGGGGACAAGGTGGTTGTCGAAGTCTTGGTGGCATCTTGGGCTGTCACAGTTGCCAGGGGACGTCAGGAAGTCTCAACCTGCCGCAAAGCCTGCCGAGAGCCAGTGTGGTGTAGTGGTTAAGAGCGGTAGATTCGTAATCTGGTGAACCGGGTTCGATTCCCCGCTCCTCCACATGCAGCTGCTGGGTGACCTTGGGCTAGTCACACTTCTCTGAAGTCTCTCAGCCCCACTCACCTCACAGAGTGTTTGTTGTGGGGGAGGAAGGGAAAGGAGAATTAGCCGCTTTGAGACTCCTTAAAGGGAGTGAAAGGTGGGATATCAAATCCAAATTCTTCTTCTTCTTCAAATAAGCCAGTGTTGTTCCTGCAATGACCTTTTACAGCAGGGTGGTTCAGGAGCAACCCAAATGTTGATGGCCAGCCCAAGGCCAACAGACCCAATGCCAGCTGAAGGATGTGTGTGTGAGAGAGAGCATTGTGGCCCCGGGAGAGCTGGCCAAGCGGGAACGCGGCCCCTGTCACCGCTTAGTCAGTAGAGCATGAGGCTCATAATCTTAGAGTTGTGGGTTCAAGTCTTGCTTGGGGGGTGGACTAGATGAGCCTTGTGGGTCCTTCCAACTCTGCAATTCATTGATTCTCTGCCAGTCCCACGTTGGCCGGGAGCGAAAAGAGGACATTGTCTATGAGTTCAACTTTGACCAGGTCTTCCCTCCGTCCAGCTCCCAGGAGGAGGTCTTTGAGGAGATCTCTCTGCTTGTGCAGGTAAGGAAAAGCATTTTATTCTGTGAACCACCCTGAGATCTTTTAATGAAGAGCAGCACATAAATAAATTAAATAAAGATATAAAATAAATACATTAAGGGGGGAAGCGGCCCAGTTCTTCTAGTTTGTTATTATGTTGAGTATGGTACAGTTGTATCTTGGTCCTCAAATGCCTTGGTACTCGTACAGTTTGGCTCCTGAACGCTGAAAACCTGGAAGTAAGTGTTCCAATTCCCAAACATTCTTTGGCAGCCTTAGACTCGGTTCGACAACCAAGGTGCCACTGTATTATGATGATGATCATGGTGATGATTACCCTGCTGATTTGGCTGGTTTGTCCTGTGAGCCTTGGCTGAAGGATGGTTTGGAAATTTCATCTAGAGTGGCTGTTCCCTCTGGAGGCAGGTAGGGTCTGGTGGACGCCTGCATGACGGCTTCCCTTCCTCCCCGCAGTCAGCCTTGGACGGCTACCACGTCTGCATCTTTGCCTACGGGCAGACGGGGAGCGGCAAGACGTACACCATGGAGGGCCCCGACTGCCAGGACCCTTCCACGGCCGGCATGATCCCCCGCGCAGTGCAGCAGATCTTCGAGAAAGCCCGGGAGATGGAGGCCAAAGGCTGGAAGGTGGGGGGCAGAGAGGGAAAGTGGTCCAAAGGGGGTGGAGGGGCGAGGAAGCCGCAGGAGACACCCGCTGCATTCACTCGCCATGCTGCAATTGCCAGGGTGGTTTCACACTGGGCATGGGAGCTCCCAGAGAGGGCACTGGTGAGAGAGGTTCTCCCAAGCCCTCTGAGCACTCGGGGAGGGGGCTGCCTCTTTCACCCTCACCCGCCCCACAGGATGGTGAGACCGCCAGTGTTTTTCTGCAGGGCCTTCCGCTCAGCCTCACAAGATCCTCTGAACACCCGAGGGCTGGCCTGTCTGAATTCCTAGGCCTCGCCTTTGGAAGCCTCCTCTGCAGGCCATCTTGGAATAGCCATGCCAGTTAGTCCCCGAGTCTGAGCTGGGAGCGATGTACCGGATGGGCACGCGCCACCCCAGCCGCCTTCCCTGCTATGATCCTGCCCCTCTTCCTGTCTCCTCCCAGTACCATTTCACTGCCAACTTCCTGGAGATCTACAATGAGTCTCTGCGGGACCTGCTGGTGTTGCGCCCTGAGCGGGGCTCCGAGCTGGAGATCCGGCGAGTGAGCCAGTGCACGGAGGAACTGCACGTCCCCAACCTCTGCTACGTCCCCGTTGCTTCGGAGCAAGAGGTACCGCGGTTGGGGGGGGGCAGCTGTCTGGGATTTTCCAGGGGGGTTCCAGCGGTGCAGGGGTTGGGTAGATGACCTCTGGGATCCCCTTCCAACACTACTATTCTTCCACTCTGCACTGTGTCCGGCCTCCAGCCTGCTTGCAAGGGGTGGAGGAGAGGCAGAAGCCAGAGAACCAGCCCCACTGTGACCCATTTTAGGGCCTTGGTCTGGGGACAAGGCAGCCAGAGTGTGTCTGCATCCAAAGCCTCTGAGGGGAGGAGCAGAGTGAGGAAGATGGGGTTGGGCTAGATGACCCTGGGGGCTCCCCTCCAACTTTGCAGTTCTCTGAGAGGCTTCTGTCTCCCGCTGTTGTATGAAGGCAGGCAATGGTAGAAACTCCAATATAGAAGCTAGGCACCAAGCGGCTCCTTAAACCAAGGTTAAACTCACCCAAATGGAATGTCTAGTTGCCATTTTGGGGCCAGGCGGTTCTAAAGTCTTATTTTTCAAATGATGGACTGATTGACTGATTCTCAGTTAAACATCTGGCTAGTTCAGATGACCACCTTGAGCTGGGATTGGGGCAGTCCACATATCTTGGCCTATTCCAACTTCTTTTTCTTAACAGTACATTCAGAATATAATAATATTCTTTGCAACTGAGAGTGGGGCCGTGGGGGCGGGGGAGTGAAGTCAAGTGAGAACAATGAACTGACATTGTTCACTGCTCCTGCTCAGGCTGCTGAGAGAAACCATTTTGATTCCTGATACTCACTCTGATTGTGCAGCTAAAATGTAATGGATAGAATTCTACAGGATGAGGTACTAGTGTGTGGGAACAGTCTAGCTCCAAGGATTCCCAGGCTTGCCCCTCCAGGTGGGGATGTCCAACGCCATCTGGCGCCCGGGCATCTCAGTTTGGTCGCAAGTAGCCAATAGCCAGGGGGGAAATGTGCCCGGCTAGCCTCTTCACGCTGTTTGCCGGGGGCTGGCTAGGGCCAGATGATCTCAGGGGTCCCTTCCGACTGCCATTCTCCGCTTCCTGCCCCCTGCTTGCCCCCTCAGGTGCTGAAGCTGCTCCAGAGGGCCAAAGCCAACCGCTCGGTGGCCAAGACCCATCTCAACGAGCGCTCCTCCCGCAGCCACAGCCTCTTCCAGCTGCGCATCGAGGGCCACAACGCCAACCGGGAGCTGCACACCTCCTGTGAGTGTAGCCGGCGCCACAATCCCCTGCCGAAACCCTTCGCCGGAGGCCTCTGTCCCTGCGCTCCCTTGCTCCCCCTCTTCTAGGCCAGGCCCTCTGTCCCTGGTCCCCAGCACCCCTCGGGGGAGATGGGGGCACCCACCCTCACTCCTCCTTTGTCCCCCCGGCAGCCGTGCTGAGCTTGGTGGACCTGGCTGGCAGCGAGCGCCTGGACAGGTCCCTCTCCACAGGTGACCGCCTCAAGGAGACCCAGGCCATCAACAGCAGCCTCTCCAACCTGGGCTTGGTCATCACCGCCCTCAGCAACAAGGTAGGCGGGAGAGGGGGTCATGCGTGCCTCTGGGTGGGAGAGTCCCGGCCAGCCATGGGGCAGTCCTTCACAGCCCCCCAGCCGGCCTCCTGCAGTGCACTGGTCTTCTGCGAGGGTGAGGATGTGGCGTCCACCGCTGTCTCACGTGTGGGGTGCCCACCTGTCAGGGGCTCTAGAACTGTGATTCCTTCCAACTCTACAATTCGATCAGGAATGGGACAGCCTCACGATGCTGGCTGGCGAAACCGGCCTGCCCTAAGTGGGGAGGAGGGGCCCCCCAACATTTCCCCTTCCTGCACCCTTCCTTGTCCGCTTCCTTTGCCCCCTTGCAGGAGGCCCATGTGCCCTACCGGAACAGCAAGCTGACCTACCTCCTCCAGAACTCCTTAGGCGGCAATTCCAAGATGTGAGTCGGCAAGGAGGGAGTTGATGGCTCCCCCTCCCCTTTGACGCCTGGTCTGCACTGTCCTGCCAGGAACGCAGGGGGTTGGGCTAGATGACCCCTTTCAACCCAGACGTCTCTGACAGGGGTTCCATGCATCTGTTTCTCCTCACCCTCCTGCCTTTTCCCCCAGGCTGATGTTCGTTAACATCTCGCCCTCGGAGGAGAACTTTGCCGAGTCCCTCAATTCCCTTCGCTTTGCCAGAAAGGTAAGTGACTGCAGCATCCGGCTGGGGGGCGGGGAGGTCCCTTTCTCTGGGCTGAAGGTGCATCCTGACTGTAGCTGGATGGAGGAGGTGTCGGCGGCAGCAGCAGCTGTGGGGACCAGTTTCTGGACCCCAAAATCTGCCCGGTCTTGCCTTGCAGGTCAATGAATGTGTCATTGGCACAGCGTCAAATCGGAAGTGAGGGCGGCGGAGGCGGCTGGTCTTTCTGCTTCTCGGATAGCGACCCCATTCTTACTCTTTTGTCTTTTAAAGTCTTGATACTTTTTTTGTAATAAATGTTTATATTTCTGAATTTATATTCTGAAATTTTCTTCTTCCACTGCTGAATTTGGCTTTTTCTGCTGTCTTCCTCCGGTGAGCTGCGTGCACAGGCTCCACTTCAGGGCGTCTCCTCCCTCTCAAGCCTCCCTGCCCTTTCGTTAAGAGTGGTAGTCTCGTAATCTGGGGAACCGGGTTCGCATCTCCGCTCCTCCACATGCAGCTGCCGGGTGACGTTGGGCCAGTCACACTTCTGTGAAGTCTCTCAGCCCCTCTCACCTCACAGAGTGTTTGTTGTGGGGGAGGAAGGGAAAGGAGATTGTTAGCCACTCCTTCGGGTAGTGATAAAGGAGGATATCAAATCCAAACTCCTCCTCCTCCTCTTCTTCTTCAGGGGTAAGGGAAATAGGTGACTTGAGCTTGAGTTTGGCTCTTCTGGAAAGGATCTTGTGGCAACGGGAGGACTTTAACTGTGGCTGCAGCAGGAAAGCTGCAGCCATGATAGCATTGGGAGCCTTGTAGGTAACCGTAAGACCCTTGTGGCCAGAGGAGGCTTCCACGGCTCTCAGCAACCAACTCTTGCATGATGTGGCTTTGCTAGCAAGGCCAAAACATGCAGAAATGACCCGCCAGGAAAGATGGGCTACTCCTGTTGAACTCCTTCCTGCAAAAAGCTGCCAAAGCACCTCGCCAAAGACTCCTAAACAGGCTATTATGTTCTTATGTACGAAGAGATAAAAATTTAGCTGTGTTTCAGAGGAGAAAAACATGTTGGTTGTGTCAAGGCTTGTTTGTGAGTTGGGGGGGTTCATCCGAGCAAAAATACACACCATAGTAACAAACAACATACTGTTACGGAAAAATCTAAGTGCCAGGCTGCTCAGTCACCCAGCTGGTCGGGCAGAGCCCGTGGGTCCCTGCGGAATAAAGGAAGGAGTCCAGTCACCAACCGGAGCAAATAGCTGTAGACCAAAGCTTATTGCGCAACAGGTTCAAAGAGCAAATTTGAACCCCAAGGATGGGGTGACAAGGACTTTTAAAACTTTCCCACCATATCCCAGAATACAGTTTACACAGCATCATTGCTACATCACTGACATGTCACCAAAGGGGAGGGGTAGACGGGGGTTACACTAGTTCAGCCTTGGCAAACATGTCCAGACAAGTCCTTGGTACAACATTAGCATAAGCAGACATGTCAGGGCAAGACCCAGGTGTTAGATTAGCATAGGCAAACACTTCTGAAGTCCCACCACCCAAAGTACAATAGAACTTTCTTTGCATGTCTGGCCCCTTGGCAAGTTTGGTTGATGGGATTAGGCTCTCCTTGGTTAACAATCAGCTCAGCAATTGTCACCTCTGGGCACTTCCTGGAGTCCCTTTTCCAAGGGCAAAATAGCGTTGGAATGGAGGGAAATGGCAAAGGAGTTGATTTTATGATTTTTTAAAAGCTAAGTAACTTATCTAAGCTGTCAAGTTGAAAGAATACATTCAGGCATAATATTTGTAACATTTAACAACTTTAAAGATGTGCCCCCCCCATAATTTCCATAACAATATGTCCAGCCAATATGTCCATCCTATGTCAATAACAAATTGTTGCTGTTTTTTGGTTGAATATATGGTATATGGTAATTTATGGACCTAAGAGGTATCTAAAGCCATTTGCACATAACAAAATAGGAGCCAACACAATGCAAAAACTTACTTTATGTAGGTTTTATTTGTTTTTTATATTGTGTTACGGTAAAATCTGGGTGCGAGGCTGCTCTGCCACCCAGCTCGTCGCACTATATCCGCGGGTCCCTGCGGAGGAAAATGAGCTCAGCCGGAGACAGGAGCAAGATGCAGAAGATCCAAGTTTATTGCGCAACAGGTTCAAGGTGAGATTGAACCCCGAGGATGGGGTGACATGAACTTTTAAAACTTCCCTCCATGCCCCAGAATACAGTGCAAAATACCTCACAGTTACATCATGAATACATTAAGAAGAGGTTGGGTTACACAGGATTAACATATGGAGGAGGGAGGGGGGAATATGCAGAGCTGGAGATATGCACAGATAAGTACATCCTGAGTACTGGTGATGAAAGGACAATAGTCAGGTATGCATAGTCTGCCACCTGGCACTGCCCGGAGGAAAGGCTTGGCAGAGTGATTTGACAGGATTAGGGCCTTCCTGAGAATAGGTGACACCTCGCTTGAGGGATTATGGAGGACAGAGGAGGTGTCATGGAGTCCTAGAGAAATGGAGTAAATTGGCACTGAAAGCAAGAAAATCGGTGCTTGTGTAACAGTGTGGGGGCTGAGGGGTCCATGTAGGGCCGGGTGCCCTTGAGGTCATTGCCTCGGATCCTCTGGTGACCGGCGGAAGGGGTGAAGAAGACATGCCCCCCCCTTTCCGGATCAATTGTATTTTGTAAATGTACAGCACTTTTTCCTTTTAATTTTTTGGGGGCCCCCCAAGAGAGTGGGGCCCTAAGCTAGAGCTTGCTTAGCTTATACGTAACGGACACAAGCAAGCAAAGTGTTTCCAGCTCTTTGCGTGGCTTACATGCTGCCTTTTGCAATGTTTTTGGGGGGTGTTCAGCTTTATATAAATGGCAGTTTTGCAGATCACACAGACACAGAGGGCGCTAGAGCTTGCCGATCAGAACGTCGGTGGCTCAGATCCCTGCGACAGGGTGAGCTCCTGTTCGGTCCCTGCTCCTGCCAACCTAGCAATTTGAAAGCACATCAAAGTGCAAGTAGATAAATAGGTGGGAAGGTAAACGGCGTTTCCGTGCGCTGCTCTGGTTCGCCAGAAGCATTTTAGTCCTGCTGGCCACATGACCCGGAAGCTGCACGCCGGCTCCCTCGGCCAGGTAAGCGAGATGAGCGCCGCAACCCCAGAGTCAGGGGTCCCTTTACCTTTCCAAAGCTTGCAGCAGATTGTCTTTCGTGTTTTCCGTTTCCTTTCAAATCGCCCCTGTGATGTTTGGCTGAAGGGGGGCCTACAGATGTAATAGACACCGCACTACTAGTAAAGAGTCCTAAGAGTCCTGATCTCCTCTCGATGTGCTTTGACTCGCTCCGGGAGCCCCATCCCTCCCCGCAGCCAACCTTCGCTCTCGCTGAGGACTAATGAACCCTGCGAAGGCTGCCCTCCCAGGAGCCGCGTCCAATGGGAAGGCGCAGCGCCTTCGCCCGGACCCGCCTCTGCGCTGCTTGTTTGCCTAATTGAAGGACGAACTCATCAAAGCAGCTCCCGCCTAAGACGAAGAGCACAGCCAATCAGAGTCCAGGTCCGCATCCGGGTTCTGTTCTTCCGGCTGACGGGAGAGGCGGGCCGACAGTACAAGGGGCGGGACTCGACCGCCTCCCCGGTTGGCTAAACTGCCCGGAGGGGGCGGGGCGTCCGAGCCGGGCGCCAATCCGAGCCAGCGCCCTCGCAGCCTCCGATTGGGCGCGGAGGAGGCCCGAGGGCGGGGCGGCTCTCGCTCCGGCTCAGCCGCTTCCGTCGGGCGGAAGGAAGGAAGGAAGGCGGAAGGAAGGGAAGAGGCGGCAACGGCGGCCGAGGTGAGGCGGCGGCGGGGAGGCGGCGGGGGGGAGGAGCCTCGGGAGCCTCTGGCCCCGCCCCCTGGCGCGCCACGTCATCCTCCCAGGGGGAGGGGCCGGAGCGAGGGCGCCCCTGAGCACGCGCAGAGTGCCGGCCGCTGAGCCCAGGGCGCTCCGGAGAGGGCGCGGGGCGCGCACCCCGAGAAGCCAATCAGTAAAGAGAATGGCCCTCTCCGGACTGGAGGGAGGACTATATGGGGGGGGGGAGAGACTGCCCCCCACCTGCGCAGCTATGAACTCGCATAATTGGCTCCCAGGTCGCCTGCTGGCTGAAGGTCTATGCGCTGCCCAATTTCACGGTAACAGTAAATAGTGGAAATGCAAAAAAAAAGAGGGGGGGGGAGCATATATAGTAGGCACATTAAGTCGCAGAGATTCCCCTTGAAATATGGGGCGAGAAGAGAGAAGCAAAGACTCCGCGAACAGAGACACAACAGTCCCAAAGGCGCCTCCGTCTGTGATAGGGAAGGTGCTTTTATTATTAATATTATTACAGTGGAACCTCGGTTGTCGAACGCCTCCCTTGTCGTGCGTACACTCCTGAATTAGAAGAAATACATTAATAAATGAATTATTATTTAGATGTATATACCGCCCTTTGTTGTAAGATCTCTGGGTGGTTCACATAATAATATACAAGATCAAAACAAGTAAATAAGTAAACAGCAAAAGAAGACCCCTCCCCTTATTCTATTCTGGACTCAGTCTGGGTGGTTCTCCTCCTGCCCCTTCCTGCTTCAGTGGCTGGAGAGATCCTGGAGCTTCACCGGAGGCCAGGCAGCAGCAGCTGAGGAGCGTAGAAATGTAGGGTCAGAATGGACCCTGAAGGTGATCTAGGGGGCTGGACAAGATAATAACAATTTTATTACTTATGTGCCTCCCATCTGACATGGTTGCCCCAGCCACTCTGGGTGGCTTGCAGTAAAATATTTTAAAAGATGACCCTCGAGGTCCCTACCAATCTCTCTCTCTGTGTAAATTATTGAATGTGCCTACATTCCATTTTTTGTTTCTTGAAAGCTCAAAGCAGCTTACTTTAACAGAAATAAACAAATCACATTGTTGCAAATCACAGAACACAATTAGGAGCACCGTGAAATATCAGCAGCAGTGCTGTAAAACAGACAAATGAACCCACAAATCAGCACTAGAAAATGAAACAGACTCAAGGAGGCTCCAAAATTTGTCCAGCCAGAAGCCTCCGAAAGAGAAATATGATTTCTGTCAAACAGGGAACTCCTGGCCAAACTTGTGGCTGCCCGTGGCCACCTACAGAAGGCAGTGTTCCCAAATGGGGGCATCACAATGTTGTTTTATGGTTTTTTATCCCAACACCTTGTATCCCCAGGAATCCATGGTGGGCGGCTGCCCAGGCTTCTGAGACAAGGCAGCAGCAGAGGAGATAGAAAGGTTTGGAAAGGAACCCAGCCCCCTGCAATACAGTTCATAAAGCAAGCCTCTTGTGGCCCCTAATCTCTGGGTTGCAGATTGGACCAAAGATTCCTGCATTTCAGGGGGTTGGGCTAGATGACCCTTGGGCTCCCTTTCCCCCCAGCAGGCAGCTGCCTGGCCTGCGGAGCCCCCTGTGCCCTCTCCTCCCCCCTTGGCCCCTCACCCTCTCTCTCCTCCTTGCAGCTGCGCCCGCTTCCCCCGTGGCCATGGAGCCCGAGACGCGCAGCGTGCAGATTGAGTTCCCTCACTACGCCGCCGTCCTGCTGGAGTCGCTCAACAAGCACCGCCTGGAGGGCAAGTTCTGCGACATCGCCATCCACGTCCAGGGCCGCGTCTTCCAGGCGCACAAGAGCGTCCTGGCTGCCTCCTCGCCCTACTTCCACGACAAGCTGCTCCTGCACGACACCAACTGCATCGTGCTGCCCGGCGTCATCGAGCCGGACGCCTTCGAGAACCTCCTGCAGCTCATCTACTCGGGGCGCCTCAAGCTGCTCCTGGAGGCCCTGCCCAGCCACCTCCTGGTGGCCAGTGGGCTCCAGATGTGGCAGGTGGTGGACCAGTGCTCGGGCATCCTCAAGGAGCTGGAGGGCGGCGCCTGCCGGCCTTGGTCCAGCCGCGCCAGCGAGAGCCAGTCGCCCAGCAGCAGCAACTACTTTGGCTCCAGGGACGAGGCCGAAGCCGAGGCTCCTGGGCGGCGGCGGCGCACCTGCCCCGACGGCGAGGTCCTGAAGATCCGCGTGCCGCCTGACGAGGAGGAGGAGGAGGAGGAGGAGGAGGAGCAGCAGGCGCAGATCTGCAGCGGCTCCACCGATGGGCCGGCGAAGGCCGAGGAGAGCCGAGCCAAGGAGCCGCCCTTTGCCCCGGCGCATGAGGCCCCCAAGGTCTTCTACATCAAGCAGGAGCGCTTTGACGCCGAGGAGGCGGCCGCCTCGGTGCTGGGCGGAGCCGGCAGCAGCTCGTGCCTGTCGGAGGCTGGCTTCTTCAAGTCTCTGGGCAGGCCGCTGGCCGTGTCGGGGCTGTGCCCGGCCGAGATCCAGGAGAGCGGCGAGGTCAGCTACCTGCTCCCTGGCGCCCCGGCGGCATCCTCGTCCAGCGGCCCCGGCGGCGGCTTCTCGGCAAAGGCGGACTCAGTGGCCTTCCCCGAGAGCTCGTGGAAGCCCGTGGACCTCCATGGCAACGAGATCCTGGCGCACGCCGTGCACGGGCAGGTGGTTCACGCGCCCGTCAAGCTGATGTCTGCGCCCGACGGCAAGAAGTTTGGCTGCCTGTGCGGGAAGCGCTTTGCGGTCAAGCCCAAGCGGGACCGCCACATCATGCTGACCTTCAGCCTGCGCCCCTTTGGCTGCTCCGTCTGCAACAAGAAGTTCAAGCTCAAGCACCACCTGACCGAGCACATGAAGACGCACGACGGCAACCTGTACGCCTGCGAGGACTGTGGGCGCAAGTTCCGCGTCCAGAGCTGCTTCCTCAAGCACAAGGAGATCTGCAAGGGGCAGGGATGGGCCACCGCTTGCTGGACCTACAAGTAGAAGCAGGGGGGAGAGGCCCACCCAGAGATGAATGGAGGGATGGGAATCCCTGTGGACCCTCTTGGGGGCACAGAGGCAGGTTTGGGGGTCAGGGGGCCAGAGTGTTACCATAAAGCACCAATGCTGCAGCAAGCAAAGGCTCTAGCAGCTCAGCCAGCTGCTTGTGGCTGGAAAGCCAGACAGGATGTTTGTGACTGTTGCCATGGGAACAAAGGGGCAGTCCATTCTGTACTGAGCACCGGATGTTAGCTCAGTGTGTGTGTGTGTCATATGACCCGTACTGGATGTACTTGGGAGGAGTTTCTTCTTGCTGTTGTTGAGTGCAGACATGATTCTCTGTACTGATGTAAGAGGCAGAAATAAATGATGTAAATAGTTTTCTGTCTGCTTCTTTCCCCTCCCTGGGGACACCAAAGGGGAGAGAGGAAGAACGGTGTGTTCCTCTCATACATCTGAGAAGAATCGCCGGACCTCGCCTGCTTACCAGCAGAGTGGAGACGCGGGGAGGTCGACAGGAATATCTGCCGGTGCCTACGCTGTGGCACATTCCTCTGACCCAGGCAGAATTTCAACAGTGGCAGCCTTCGGATGGTTGCGATTCATCGGACATCTGCATGAGAGGCTGGTGGATTGTCCTCCACTGCTCCTAAGGAGGAATAGAAGCGTCTGAAAGAAGCCAGAGGCTCCACAGACAGCTGGTGGAAAGAAGAGGTGTTTTCCCAAGCAACGGAGCTCAAGGTATGCTGCATTTCGGGCTAAAAGTGTGAACGCAGGAAGATTAATTCCCTGGTTCACGGAGCTGCGTTTCAAAGAAAACAAGAGCTCCGGGAGAAGAGGCCTGCAGCTTGAAGGCTGAAGCCTGCATTCCACAAATTTTTGTGGTAGATAAGAAGTCCTATTGAAATGCATTGTTGCTAGGTAACGGTCCTGGAAAGTTACTGGCAAAGGGGCTGGACTCTGAGTGTGAGCCTGGGAAAGCGAAACAAAATCAAAGAATGTTTCGGCTACAAGGTTTACGAGCTCTTGGAAGGGACTTTTCAATAGCAGCCTGAGTTTAGCTGCCAGGTGCAAAGAGCGTAAACAATTTGCAGTTTGCTGCGTGAGAAAAGAAAAAAACAACTGTTGGATTTTACAGTTTGTTTGACATTGTGAGCTGGAGGCTTGGCTTCAAGATGGATGCCAAGACAGGGGGAGGGAAGAACAGAGTTCTAATTCCCCCACTGCTGATGCTACTGGGGAGCATGGTGTAGCATTGAGTGCTGTCCGATGCTACAATTGTGGACAGACTGGGCATCTACAGCGAAACTGTAAGAAGCCGCGCCAGTCAAGAGGAGCAAAGAGCAGCTCTACGAAGCCTCAGGCGTCAGGCAAAAGCCGTACCAAGTGCCAGGTGAAACCTGCAAAGGCTATGATGGCGAAAGGAACCACGCCAGATGTTGGGAACTCGTTCATAATTGACACGGGCGCAACGGTTCATATGTGCCCGCACAGAGGACTGTTTTCGACGTTGAAGAAGCAAAGCTTCACTGTGAAACAGGCCAACGGTCAGGAGTTGGAAGCAACTGGAATTGGGACTGTGTATCTTGAGAGTCTGAACTTGACTATAAGTGATGTTTACCTGGTTCCAGAACTGAGATTTAATCTGCTGAGCGTGTCGCAGATTGCAAAGAAAGGACTGAAACTGTCCTATGATGCTAAAAGCTGCAAGATCTACAAAGATGGAGAACTGTTTCTTACTGCCAAAGAGAAAGATGGACTGTATTTGTTGACTTTTGATCAAAGTGATTACATGAAATGTAATTCTGATGTTTCTAACGAAATCTCTCTTGCAGGAGTGACCAGTGTGAGCACCAGGAAGGTGACTAAGACCAAGAAGGTCGACGGAGCATTTCAGCGGGTGTATGCTGATGTGATTGGTCCTCTAGAACCATCTAGAGGCGGTGCACGATTTAACCGTCTGGGTGTGGCTTGTTTCACTACTTAGACTTGGGTTTATATGATGGAGAAACCACAAGAAACTTTAGAAAAGTTTCAGGAGTTTTGTGACAAGGTTAAAAGTATGCATGATGCTAACATTGATTGTCTTTTTACAGATGACAAACAAATTTTTCTGTTACAGAAGTTTCAGAAGTTCCTGGATGGAAAAGGGATAGACCACAAAGTTGCAGTCTCGCAAGAAGCGTGGAACAGGGGGGTCTGTGTGAGGGTGAACAAAGAATTGCAAAAGGGGATGAATGCGCAATTGCTGAGTTCACATTTGCCACATGAATATTGGGCCGAATCGCTAGCGTCCTATCTTCATGTGTGGTTGAGAAAGGTCTCAACAGAGTTGGGATGTTCTCCTTTTGAGAAGCTGTTCAATAGAAAACCTTCTGTTGCCTATTTTAAGGTTTTCGGGTCTCATGTCAGAACAGAAGCTCCAGGTGGAGTAAAGAATGCCAGAGGCATTTTCGTAGGTTATGAAAAAGGTCTCTACAGAGTAATTTTGTCTGAATCTGGTCAGGTGATTCTCACAAAGTTCCTAGAGAGTGCTCCAAAGCAAGAGCGGATAGTACAGACATTTCCCACAGGAAACGATTCTGATGATGATGATGATGAGTTTGATCTTATTGAGTTCAGTAGTACTGATGATGACAGCGATAGCTCAGACAGCTCAGTTGTCACAGTCATTGAGAGGAAATCTCACATAATGACTAGACCCTCAGAAGAGGAGGATGAACCACTGATTGCTACTGGTTCTCAACAGAGTCCAAAGGTTGAACCAGTGAGCACAGAAGATCAGAACCTCATACGCAGGTCTGAGAGAGTTACAAAGGGTGTACCACCAAAGAGGTACTCAAAAGAATTTGCTAACTTAGCTGTTGCATGTGTTGCTATTGTTAACAACTCAAAGCAGGTTGAAGCAGTGTCTACGTCAGAGACAAAGACACAACAGAGGGTAGCTAGCCAAGGTAACGCAGAAGCACTCATTCCTTGGAAGCCAGACAACCAGAGAGGTACATTGGTTAAACCAGTGGCGGGTAGTTCCAAGGGTGGAACTGAAACAACAGGGGAATGTTATAAATATAACAACTGTTTGTTTTCTTCTCTGGATGACGCTTTGCTCGCGGCACACATTGATACTTTAGGGGAGTATGTTACCATAAAGCACCAATGCTGCAGCAAGCAAAGGCTCTAGCAGCTCAGCCAGCTGCTTGTGGCTGGAAAGCCAGACAGGATGTTTGTGACTGTTGCCATGGGAACAAAGGGGCAGTCCATTCTGTACTGAGCACCGGATGTTAGCTCAGTGTGTGTGTGTGTCATATGACCCGTACTGGATGTACTTGGGAGGAGTTTCTTCTTGCTGTTGTTGAGTGCAGACATGATTCTCTGTACTGATGTAAGAGGCAGAAATAAATGATGTAAATAGTTTTCTGTCTGCTTCTTTCCCCTCCCTGGGGACACCAAAGGGGAGAGAGGAAGAACGGTGTGTTCCTCTCATACATCTGAGAAGAATCGCCGGACCTCGCCTGCTTACCAGCAGAGTGGAGACGCGGGGAGGTCGACAGGAATATCTGCCGGTGCCTACGCTGTGGCACATTCCTCTGACCCAGGCAGAATTCCAACACAGAGTACGTGTGGTGGGCAGGGCACCTCACCCTGTGCTGGGGGGCGATGGCATAGACACGCCCAAAGACCCCCCTTCGCCAGCCCCGCCACTTTGGGGATCAGGCTGGCATGAAAGGCAGGGAGCGAAAGGCTAAGCCCCAGGTGCTGGGGAGGGGGGGCTCCGTCAAGAGGGCTCTCCCCTTCCTGGACAGTGAACTGGCACCTGGCTGCTGCTCCCCCCCCCCCCGGCATGTAAGCTGTGGGGCCTCATACAGGCCTGCTCTTCCTGCCCCACCTTCTTTTGGGGGGGGAGTCTGTGCACCCCCCACTTCTCTGCCTCTGTCTGGACACCATTTAAAACCCAATTCAATGCACAATTTTAAAATCGACATTAAAATCTCACCATTCACACAAACTGGCTGCTGGATGAGGACGCGGGAAGCTGCTCTGGTTCAGCCCCTCCAACGGCTCCAGGGGGGAGACGGGGGGCCCAGAGAGGCCTCCCCGGCTGCTGCCCTCCCTGGTCTTCCGGTGGACTGGCTCTGGACGTGGAGGCTCCATTGTGGCCTCGCCCTGCTCTTCCTCTTCCTCTGTCACATCCATTTTCGTTGTCGGCCTGCACAACGGCCCTGTGCCCCCCACCTCGCTATGCCCCAAAGCGCATCTGTCGCAGATTCCTGGGGCCCCTGGCTGCAACCCTCCCCCGCTGTCTGCCCTCAGTTGGTGGGGCGCGGCTGGGGGGCTGTGCCAGTGGCAGTTGCGTGGCACTGCTCCCTCCTTTCCCCCGGACTCTGGCCAGAGCTCCCTGTGCTGTTTTTGATTCCTGCATTTCAGAGGGCTGGACTAGAAGAGCCTTGGGGGTCCTGTCCAACCCTGGTCCTTTGATTTCCCCACGTAATAATGAGCTGCCTAGCCTTTCTGGAAGCTGCTTGTGAGAGGACCTGGGCAGTAGTGGCTTGGCTGGGGAAGGGCTTGGTGGTGGGAAGAGGAGCCCCTCGGGTTCCTCCTGGCCCTCCTGCTGCCGGCCCAGGGGTCTGGCACTTGGGGCTGCAGGGAGGGCAGCAGGCAGCCAGGGAATCACAACATTTCAGGGGGTCTCCAGGGCCCTTTTCCCAGAAGAGCCGGCAGGCTGCAGGTGCCCCACATGCCCCACAGCTGTGTGCAGAAGGACAGGAAGGAGAGGTGCCATCTCAGTGGGAACCGCAGGACCGTAGTGTGGCAGCAGACACTCACTCCCCAGCATCTCCAGGCCCCAGGTCCAAAATCCAGCAGAGCTGCTGCCAGCCAGTGTCAGCAGCCCTGGGTTCGCCAGACCCAATGGCCTTGACTTTGTCTAGGGTGGCTTCTCAGCCCCCCCCCCGTGTTCATAACCTGGGATAACTCAGTCAGTGGAGCACGAGATTCTTGCTCTCGGGATCATGGGTTCGAGTCCCATGGTGGTCAAAAAAGGATTCTTGGGCTGGGCTGGACTGCATGACCCCGATGGTCCCTTCCGACTCTGTGATACTATGCTAACTTCCAAAGCTTCCCAGAACTGCAGAGGGGGAAACTGAGACGAGATGTAGAAATAATACTAACTATACCCCGCCCATCTGGCTGGGTTGCCCCATCCACTCTGGGCGGCTTCCAAGAGAGATGAAAGCAGAACTGAACATCACACGTTGAAAACTTCCCTGCACAGGCAGCCCCAAAGCTGTTTTTGCTACTAAATTGAGGAGTGGAGATTGGTAGGGAGCAGAGATCCTGGAGACCGGGCAGGAAGAGGCAGGACAGGTCTTTTTCCCCTTTTCTTTTGAAAGTTTAGCTTAATTTATTACATAAAGAGAGATAGAGAGAAAGAGAGAGAGAAGTGAAAAATACAAGGACACAAAAACCACGGGAGAGGGCCCTCTCCCACAAAATGAAGTTCAAACCCAGGGAGAAGATTCACAGCAATATAACGCAACAATCACGAAGGAGCCCCTTCCAGCAGGGGGCGTCTTTTTGAGGAATGCCAAAGCTTCAGAGGCACAGAGGACCCCTGCAGCCGGATCAGGCCAGTGGCTCCTGTGGGTCAGCATCCTGCTCGCATTGCGGCGAAGCACGTGCCCCAAAGGGAAGGAGCCCCAGAGCAGCGCCAGACTGCCGCAACCCTCTCCCCAGCTAGAAGCTACCCTTCAGACCCAGAGCTCCTGGCCACAGACGGAGAAATGAGCCATTGGGGGGTTGGCCCCGATCCTCCATTAATTTGCCTAATTGGTGGCCATCCCTGTCTCTTGTGGGAGCCAGTCCCATGGTTTACACACATCTGCCCTGTATTTTCCGGCATTCGGCCTTTTCGGATGTCGCCGGCAGGTTCTAGAGGGAAATACAGGCAGAAGAAACCAGTCGCCCCTTGACTGCTCCCTGGCCGCCTCTGTCCCTGGAGGGCTTCTCTTGCTGGGGCGGCTCACTTTCACCATCCAAAGGCAGACACAGTTGAGGAAGGCGCCTCCCCAGGAGAGGCTTTTTGCCTTGCAGGCGGTTGGACTAGATGACCCTTGGAGTCCCTTCCAGCTCCGTGACTCTAAAAGCAGGTCAAAAGCAACACCTTGAATGGTGCCAAGGAGCCCTGGCTTCTGGCCGCCATTGTTTCATGGAGGTGGCAGCAAAAGTGTGGTTCTTTGTGTTGGTTGCAAACCCCACCCCCAGGTACCTGGGCTTTCATTGCAGGGGGTTGGCCTGGATGACCCTTGGGAGTCCTTTACAACTCTCCAATTCCATGAGAACCCACCTCCTTCCCAAGGAATCGCTTCCACGGTCAGAAAGCTCTTCTTGCTGTTTATTTGAGATCTCCTATGTCGCCCCCCTGCGACCTGGCTTTTTATGGCGGCCTAGGTATGGCTGGTGTGGAACGCGGGTGGCACTGTGGTCTAAACCAGAGCCTAGGGCTTGCCGATCAGAAGGTCGGCAGTTCGAATCCCTGCAACGGGGAGAGTTCCCTGCTCCTGCCAACCTAGCAGTTGCACATCAAAGTGCAAGTAGATAAATAGGTACCACTCTGGTGAGAAGGCAAACGGCATTTCCGTGCGCTGCTCTGGTTCGCCAGAAGCGGCTTAGTCATGCTGGCCACATGATCCGGAAGCTGTACGCCGGCTCCCTCAGCCAATAAAGCGAGATGAGCGCCGCAACCCCAGAGCTGTCCGCGACTGGACCTAACGGTCAGGGGTCCCTTTACCTTTAGGTATGGCTGGACAGTACAGGAAAAGCCTGATAAGACTTAATTCTTCCATGGTGGGGGGTTTATGGCGGGTGGAGAAATTCAGGGCCCTGCTGTTTCTTCAACCTCCCGTTCTGAGCAGGAGCAGCATAGATGTCAAAAAAGGAGAAAGGTTTGCTGGGAAGTCTGCAGGAGGTGGAAGCTGCCCAGGGCATGAAGATTTATTTAAAATAAAATAAGATGAGGGTGCACTCAATTCTGGTGCTAAAACTGGTTTTCTGTGTTTCAGCTAGATACCTTTCTGCATCGCGTGTTGCTTCTCTCACTGCCTGCTAGAACATCCAGTGCCAGCAGCAGCAGAACCAAAGCAATGAGAAGCAAATGCGGGGGGGGGGGGGGGACACGACCCGGTATTTTAATGAAAGGGGGGGGAGCAAAATGACAAAGAGTCAGTAGCTGTGGAATAGCCAGTGGCGGGGGGGGGGGGGTCAGGTATCCAGGAGGCCCACGAGGAGCAAGCCCATCCGGGGGGGGGGGTGTTCTTCATGGCAGGTCTCGCTTGGAGCAAATAAACACGCTTCCAGTCGCATTGTCTGACAATCATTTATTGGTTTATAAAAATATTTATATGCCGCTTTATCCTAAAGTTGTTTACAGCAATGTAAGAACACAAAACCCAAACATAAAATTGTAATGAGTGAAAAAAAGAGAGAAATTAAAAACCTCCAAAGACCATGTATTCTTAGCAGCCTGCGTAGGCCTGGTTGAACAGTCTTTGGGAGGCATTTTAAAAGTCAGCCCAGAAGGCGTCTGCTGAATCTCCAGTGGCAGGGAGTTCCATATGACTAGGCCAGTGACAAGAACATTTGCGGAGTCTCGCAAACCTGATGAGGAGAGCTTTAAACTAGATCTTGAGGGGGAAGGAGATGATACTGCAGAAGACAGAAGAACACCTGGTACTGGGGATGGTAGCCTCATTGATGCACAGGAAACGGAGGCGATGCTCCAGAAACCCGATAAAGGGCAAGAAACTACAGTGGTATCTCTGGATGCGAACGGGATCTGTTCCGGAGCCCCGTTTGCAACCTGAAGCAAACGCAACCCGCGTCTGCGTGTGCATGGGTCACGATTTGCCGCTTCTGCGAATGTGTGTGACGTCATTTTGAGCGTCTGCACATGCGTGAGCGGCAAAACCCGGAAGTAAAGTGTTCCGTTACTTCTGGGTCGCCGTGGAGCGCAACCTGAAAACGCTCAACCTGAAGCAACTTCAACCCGAGGTATAACTGTACAAGAAGGAAGCAGCTGGAGGGAGCGACTCATGGTTTTAGTTCAGCAAGACAAATTGGAGCTTCCACTACAGGGTGGCAAAGATGACTCAGAAGGCATTACTGAAACCTGCTGGGATGAATATTAAAGGTTCGTTACACTTTCTCTGCTTGTAGATACTTGTGCGAAGGCACCTCAGTAACATGCTTTCAATTGTTTAGAAGTTTTTCCTCGGAAACAGTGAACAGTAACTGAAGTTATTCTTAGAGATGAATCACTCACAGACTCTGAAAGCAAACAGCTATAATGGCACGCTTTGAGTTAAAAGTCTCTCTTTCTCTCCAGCAACGGCGTCCATTAGCAGCCCCAGCAAAGCAGAATTTACAGGCAGCACTCGGGTAGACATTTGCCAGCTGCAAAAATGAAACTGATAGTTCCTCTTTCTTATTGGCACTACCAGCCAGAGCCATGCATGCTTTGAGTGCCACTCCTATATATAAATGAATTTTCTGGAACCTCCTGTTTCTGGCAGAATGATTCCCTAACAATGAGACTCATGACTGGAACGTGGAAACTGAGGGGTACAGCCTGTTCAAAAGGAACAGACCAAACTGGAAGGGAGTAGTACAGTGGTACCTCGGGTTAAGAACTTACCGTATTTTTCGCTCTATAGGGCGCACCGGACTATAAGGCGCACCTAGTTTTTTTTTGGGGGGGGGAATAAAGAAAAAAAAATATTTTCCCCTGCATCACCTGGACTGGACTGCTAGCTGCCACAGCAGTCCCCAGGTCATCTTCCATATGGGGTAAACCTGTTTGTACATTTGTAACTTTAAGCTTTAAGCCAGCCTTCAGGGATCACATTGTGCTCTGCCTGATCGTAAATAAAACTACTTTTTGTTACAGGTAGGTAGCCATGTCGATCTGCCGTAGTTGAAGCAAGATAAAAAAATTCCTTCCAGTAGCACCTTAGAGACCAGCCAAGTTTGCTATTGGTATGAGCTTTCGTGTGCATGCACACTTCTTCAGCTACACTGAAACAGAAGTCACCAGACCCTTATATATAGTGAGAGGGTGGGGAGGGGTATTACTCAGAAGGGTGGTGGGAATGGGTGATTGGCTGATAGGTGTGGTAAACCTGTTGACAGCTGTTAATGTCTGACATTGAGATATTGGATTCTTATCTCATTATACACGATAAAGCTATTTTTAGCCATCTCACCCCTTGCTTTATTTATCCTGTAAGACCAACTGCAGTCGTTAACAGCTCATACCAATAACAAACTTAGTTGGTCTCTAAGGTGCTACTGGAAGGAATTTTTTTACTTTTTGTTACTTATGAATAAGACTGTGGTGTCTTTATTCTTTTAGGAGGTATTTAAAAGGGGATCTTTCCAGGAATAGTAGAACATATTTCAGTCTGGGCAGGTCAGATTGAATTGCTTATTGCCTTAAGAAACTCACACAAGTTTGCAACCAGGTTTCTGCTGCATCAGAAGATGAATGCACTCTGCTAAGTTAGGAAGGAGATTGATAATCAATATATCCTCTCCTGCCACCCTCAGCTTTCCCACACAATTACACTCCGCTTCCCCTTGCCTCTGTATCATGAAACCCAGGAGAACATGATCACTTCCTCCCAAGTTTCCCAGTACTTCTACTCCTGTTGGATGAGGTCCAGTTCCAGTGAGGCATCCGTCTCCCTTGTCTTGGGAGACAATGGAAGAGTGTGTCATTGAGGAAAAACCATTGAAGAGTTGCAGCGCCTGCTGTGGTTGCAGAGACCAATGTGGGGGAGACATGTTCTGTTGCATCTGGGCAGATTAAGGCCTGAAATTCTTTGGCACTGATATGGTTTCTCGTGTGAGTATGAACATTTTTGGGGGTTTTTGCCAGTGCTCTGCAGGTTTTTGGTTTTTTTGTATAATACTTTTTTATTAGCTTTTCAAATAAGAATACAATGTCAAAACCATTTCAAAACAATACACCTCAGGTTCATCAGAACCTTTCGACTTCCCTCCCTCCATGGTTCTTCAAATAAACATAAATTCTCTGCATCTTTTAGTTTTCCAAATGTTAAAGTATACTAAAAATAAATTATCAAAGTTAATTTCACATTACAAGTCTTCACACAAACATGCTAATGTTTTAAACTGTTTGCAGTGATCTTTTAAATAATACACAAATTTACTCCAATCCTTCTCAAATACCTGATCTTCCTGATTTCGGGTCTTCCCCGTCAGCTTTGCCATCTCTGGAAAGTCCATAAGTTTCATCTGCTATTCTTCTTTTCCCAGAAATCCTTTACCTGCCTTGCCCCTTTGTACCTGGGCAGGTAAGGTCCTGCCCACTTCTAGTCACATGCAGAGGAAGTTTGTCCCAGCCCAGGAGGAAACAGGAAGTTTACTACTGGCTGGTCCAAGCATTCCAATTTATGTCTACTCTAGGAATGTTGTATTTGACTGCTAGGTGTTTCACACCCTCCAGTCTGAAACCGGCTACTTGGCCAAATTCACATAACCTATCCAGCACTTTAGGTACATTGGAAAGGGGATCTTCCACCGTTATTACTAAGTCGCCTGCAAAGGCTTTTAATTTGTAATAATAATAATTTATACCCCGCCTATCTTTATGTCTTACTCTTATGCCTTGAATATCTTGATCTAATCTTATGACTTTCGCCAGAACTTCCAAAACAGTTATAATTACCAATGGTGATAGAGGACAACCCTGTCTGGTACCTTTTGTAATATCACAAGTTTCCGTGAAAGTGTTAACAATCAGTTTGGCTTTCTGTTCATCTCCGCCAAGCTAAGCAGTTCGCTCCTTACCTCTCTCGCCCTGACCTAGCCACTGTGATCCACGCAACGGTCACCTCGAGACTTGATTATTGTAACTCACTCTACGTGGGGCTGCCCTTGAGACTGACCCAGAAACTCCAGCGGGTGCAGAATGCCGTGGCGAGATTCCTCACGGGGTCCTCGCCTTGGGATCACATTCACCCAGTGCTATTCCAGCTGCACTAGCTCTCAGTGGAGTACAGGATCAGATTAAAGGTGCTGCTTTTAACCTTTAAAGCCCTATACGGCCTAGGACCCTGGTACCTACGGGACCACCTCTCCTGGTATGTCCCACGGAGGACCTTACGGTCTTCAAATAAAAATATCTTGGGAGATCCCAGGACATAGGGAGGTTAGGCTGGCCTCAGCCAGAGACAGGGCTTTTTTGGCTGTGGACCCAATCAGGTGGAATACTCTGTCACAGGACTGGGGCCCTGCGGGACTTGACATCTTTCTGCAAGGCCTGCAAGACGGAGCTGTTCCGCCAGGCCTTTGGCCAAGGCACTGTCTGACCCCCTCTCTCCTTCTGTAATCTTCATAGAACTCTAGCCCAATGGTTGCCATTAATTTGATTCTGAACTGATTTTAGAATGTATTTTAATTAATTGACTGTGATTTTATGTAAATTGTGCTATTTTTACTGGTGTTAGTCACTCTGAGCCTGGCTTTGGCTGGGGAGGGCGGGATATAAATAAATTGTTGTTGTTGTTATAAATAGCTCCCAGTCCCATATGGAAAGGTTGACCAAAGTCCATCATCTCTAAATTTTTTTCATAAAGTTCCATGAAATATTGTCAAAGGGCTTTTATGCATCTATAAATATTAAAGCTGCTTGCTTGTCATTCCAGGTCTCCAAATATTCTATTATGCCTACCATATTTCTTACATTGTCTTTCATATGTCAACCAGGAAGGAAGCCCGCTTGATCTTCATGAATTACTTCCTTCATCATTTCTTTTAACCTATTTGCTAAAATGTTAGTAAAAAGTTTATGATCATTATTTAATAACGAAATTAGCCTATAATTTTTCACCATAAATGGATCAGCACCTTGTTTTGGAATTATTGTAATATATGCTTCTTTCTAAAAGACTGGTAATTGGTAATATTCCTTTATTCAGTATGTTATTCATAACATTCTTCAATGGCTGATTCATGGCCCCTGCCCAGAGAGGCTTCCCTTGGGGCTCTGGGCTCGAGACCTGAGCTGATCTGGAGGAGGATCTGGCAGGGGGAAAGGACGGCCTGGCAGGGGCTCCCCCATTTCAAGGGGGATTCTGGCCATTTCCCCCCCCCGGCTTTGCAGAGAGGAATGGGGGGCAGCAGGGCCCTCTGCTCCCAGACTTGGGGGTCTCCCCCTGCCATTCAGCAGCAGACCCCCCCCCTGCAGCCCTGGGACCCCCTTCTCCCCCAGGCACCTCAAGGGGGAAGAGAGAGGAGACTCACCGGACTCTCCCCAGGAGGGAAACCGAGGCAGCACGTGGAGGAGGCAGTCAAGAGATGCCGGAAGGGGCTGGGCAGGGAGGGAGGGGATTTTGCTCTGGAGGATCTGCCGCCTGCTGTCTCTACTTCCTGTCCTCTCTAGGACTCCACCGCTGTTCGATTTAACCCTTTGCAAGCTGAGCGCAGCCG